TTGGGACTGGGATCGGGAGTATGGGATTGGGATGGGGATTGGGAGTGAGTATGGGATTGGGATCAGGAGTTTGGGATTGGGAGTGAGTACGGGATTGGGATTGGGATCGGGATTGGGATGGGGAGTGAGTATGGGATTGGGATCGGGAGTGAGTACGGGATTGGGATTGGGAGTGAGTGCAGGATTGGGAGTGAGTATGGGATCGGGATCAGGAGTGAGTGTGGGATTGGGACTGGGAATGGGAGTGAGTGCAGGATTGGGAGTGAGTGCAGGATTGGGAGTGAGTATGGGATTGGGATCAGGAGTGAGTGCAGGATTGGGGCTTTGGCTGGAGGTGGCAGGGGGCTGGGGTTGGAATGTGGGAATGTGTGTGTCCATTGCTGGACATTCCCCTCACTCCTCATCTTTTGAAACTCCTGGAATTCTCGGTGTGGGGGTGGGGGCGCTCTCCCTGTGTGGGGGGATGTGTTGGGGTCTCCCAGCTGTCCCTCACTTCCAGACGTTGTGTGTCCCTGCGATCCAGCCAGGACAGTCTGGGATGGTGGTGCAGGAGCAGCCCCAGGTTTCCCTGGAATCTGGGTCATCCAGCCTGGTTAATCATTACAGGGCACAGGCACTGCCCTCACTCCACGTTGTGTCCTGGGATGGGGCTTTTAAAATCAGCTGGAATAAAGAAATCCCTGGCTCCAGCCTGGGATGGGGGGGAGAGGAGATTCCAGGGCCCCCACAGGCTCTGGGGGGTGCAGCAGTGGGGGGTATTTTGATTTAATTATCTCTTTATCACCTAATTAGCATCGGCTGGCTCGTTCTGCTCTGCCCGTGGGGCTTGCCAGCCCCTGCCAGAATTTCTTGCCTTTCCAGGGATTCTCACCCTTCCCATTCCCTCTCTCCCTGCAGAGGATGTCTCTGGGGAGCCCGGGGGAGTTGGGGGGGTGGTCAGCACCATCTCCAGCAGCAGGAGCCCCCTGCAGCCCCCCGAGGACACCGAGGACGAGCCCTTCACCACCTACTTCGACAGCAAGATCCCGATCCCCGAGGATGAGACGGTGAGGGGGGAAAATCCCCACGGGAAGATCTGCCTCAGGCACCTGAGTCACTCCCACGGGCACCACTTCCCCTTCCAGCCCGGGCTGGGGAGGCTGGTCTGGAGATGGGGGTTTGCAGGAGGAGGGGATGGGGTTGTCCTGGACTGGGAAGGGGGACCTGGAGATGGAGATTGGGGAGAGAAAGGGCGAGGGGTCTCCTGGGTTGGGGAGGGTGATGGAGATTTGGGAGGGAAGGGGGGGAGGTGTCTCCTGTGGTCTGCAGAGGGGTGAGGGCCCTGTTAATGATTCATCCCTTGGGATTTGGCTCCTGCTTGGAGCAGGGAAAGGCATTGTCATACCCCAGGGAGGGACCTGGGCTCTGGGTTCCCTTATCAGGGAGCAGGAGCCTTGGCTGGCCTTGTGACTGTCCCCTTGTCCCACCCCAGGGCCATGGGTGCCTCTTGGCCTTGGCTGGAGCCCCCAGTTTTGGCTGCTGGAGGGGGGAGGATCCCACTCCCCCCTGAGATTCCTTGAGCGTGGCCTTGGCTGTCCCAGCGCCCAAACTCCTCAGACTGGGACCAGACATCCTAAAGCAGGGTTTGGGATGGGATTAAGGAATAGGCAGGATTTTAGGATGGGATTCAGGGTCAGGCTGAGAGGATTAATGAGCAGGCAGGAGTTTGGGATGGGGTTAAGGCTCAGGCTGATCAGTGTAGGATGAGATTAAGCATCAGGCTGACAGGATTTAGGATCAGACAGGAGTTCAGGACGGAGTTAAGACTCAGGCTGATCAGTTTAGGACAGGGTTAAGGCTCAGGGTGATCAGTTTAGGATGGAGTTAAGGCTCAGGCTGACAGGATTAATGAGCAGGCAGGAGTTTGGGATGGGGTTAAGGCTCAGGCTGAT